AGGACTGCGAGCTCAACGACCGTTTGGCTTCGGTAACCAATGGACCCGAGGATCCCGAGAGCCTCATTGACGAGGCGATTTAATCTTCGATAGCGATAGCGATGTGTCGTTTGACGGTTTCAGCGATGAGAGCTAGGGAAACCCACGCTGCTTTGGCGCACGCGTTACTCGAGTTTTGTTTGTGATTTTGGTTTTTAAATACTGAAAGATCGCCCACCCCACTTTTTTGGCCAATTATCTACGGCGAAAAGGGGGGCGTTATTTCAGGATTTTACGGTATATATATATATATATATATATATAGCTGCTAAGGGCTTTTTTTCAGGGATCGTGTCCGCCAGCTAACAAATGATGACATAAAACTCTGACAACTACCATCTATGAACGACGGCGGCAACAAGACAACCGGTTTGCCAGTTGTCTGCTTGCTGCCGTCACTCATAGATGGCGCAACCTTTCGAGCCTTTCCACTCTGGCTTGCCGACTTGTGGCCGGCCATCACTTCATTCCCAGCATAATACAGCTTCGCTGGTCTTCCTTCTTCACCAAAATAAAAAAAAAAGGCTGAAAGTTTTTCTTTATAACTTTTCTAATAATTCCGAGTCATGTTGCCTTTCTAGTGCGGTGATCCGAATCCCCCTTTTCTTTGTTGCATTTTCGCCTAGAAGACACCAAAATCAAAACCGTACACCGGAATTGGCAGAAAGCTAGGTTCCGCAAGTTGGCTTTGTTTCGACGAAAATAATCTCTGGAGAAGGAGAACAAGGGGGACAAAGAACACAAATCTTCAAACACCGCTAGGTGACTGGTTTTAAGGTCATAACCTTAAAATGCAGGCCGTTCACCCTCGTTGGTGTTTGACTGGTGGCAGCTGATAAAACCTGTTTGCTCTACAGACGTCTAACTCCTGGTTAGCTCAGTGGTAGAGCGCTCCGCTGGAAATGGAGAGGTCCCTGGTTCGATACAAGAACCTGGCAGATTTTCTCGGTTGCGCACCAGTCACCTATCTGTGTTTGGAGATTTGTGTTTGTCCTTTGTCCCCCTTCTCCAGGGATTATTTTCGTCATTCTTGTCCAGCTCTCTTCCATTCTCATCGTGGCTTGGTTTCTATCTTCAATACTCATGGTGAACTTTCTGTAGCAATGCAGTCAAAAGTAGGAGCGCGTGTGCCCACGCACTTTGAGCACCGCAATAGAAGATAAGACATGAGTTCCCCAGGATGCTTCAGGTGGTCCACTATTCTCGAGAATTCCAAAGGACGCTACCTGCACGATCTTCAACGAGATAACCTACAACAAAAGTATGTATTGTCCTTTTATACAGCAGCGTGGTAAAGTTTTATGTTCAAGGCCACACCTACAGATAAAGAATACCAGTTCGTTCCACCGTGACATCATGTGATCAATGTTGACAGGGGCATACTTATTGGACAGGGGCATGGTGACGTTTTGATGGGATTAAGGGTGACACAGAATTTATTTAGAGGTCGAAGTCTTTTCGCATCTTTCGTCAGACAGAAAGGATATTAGGGAAGGGACCATGGTCAGTCCTTGATGGAACGTTATTTTGAGCCCATTGAAGACTCCTTGTTGTTCGAAACCACTACCTTCAAGGCAAAATGCCAAGCGTACAGGAAAGTAATTTTGGGATCAAATACTTCCCCTTCAAACTTCAGGCTTCATCTCAGTTGGCGTCTCAAACAAATTTGAAAAAAGTATTGCAGTATTAGTATTTCTGTATTTGTATTTCTGCTCTCCCTAAAATGTATTCCTGTATTTGTATTTCCAAAAACTTTTTGCCTCTATTTAAAATGTATTTCCGATACATATTGCGGTACACTTTTACAGATATATTTTAGTATCAGTATTTTAGCTATTATCTTAATGTATCCCAGTATTTGTATTTCCACATACATTTTTGAGTATTTTTGCCCAACCCTGGGTCCTGAACATGGCTCTGCTGAACCCCACTTCACGGGGGGTTCAATTTACGTGGCTTCTTTTTCCTTCTTTTCACTTCTTTCTAAATAAATCAGTTGGGAGTCAGCGCTCTTTCTTTCTACTGTCCTTTTCTCTTCCACCGACTTTTTGTGCGCTGTTTAATATTACTGATGTACCAACTAGCTCAAATTACCACTTTACTACAGGACACACTGGCACCATCTAGTGGGTAACAGTGGAAACTTGGTGGTCGCGCATATTTTCTACATTTCTCGCGCATCCTCCTTTCTTTCTAGGCTCGAAAAGCTTTTGTCGACGTTAGAAACATTTGACCTTGGAAATCTTACAAAACTTTCGCTCTTGTGAAATGCAGTTCCAGGGTCACCGCACAGACGCAATGGTGGAACTGACAAGTGCTAATTTGGAGCAGCTCTTGTAGCAGGAAAAAATAGGTATTGGAGCAGAGATTTCCATTCTTGGAGCAGACAATTTTGAGCTTTCATGTCGGAAAATGTTATACAGTCTCTTTGAAGTTGGCCCGTGGAAAAAAAAAACTGCAGCGGATGGAGTGTTGGGAGACTATCTAAAGTGTTGTACCTATAGGGGACCTGGCCACTACAGATATTTATTTATAGAACAATCGTATGGTGGTTATCTTGCAGATGTCTCAATTAACCTATTACAAGTACTGACGGCATCTTTGATCTGTGCTTGATGTAAAAGGTGTTTTTGGCTACTTTGTACTGCTTGTATCACGCTGCTCTCGCTCATACTCGACCTGCTACTGTTCACATAGCATATAAGCAGAGCACATAGCTACTGAAACCGACCAGAATGAATAGCACTAGCCCTTCATTGCGATCAGTTAGCACTAGCTATAGCGCTGGTTACTCTAGCGCTAGCTATTCATTGCGATCCATGTGAGCACCATTGGCACAAGAACCGATAACTCTTCTTTGTTAGGCAAGCGCAAATAATGAATTTTGGGTTGGAAGCTAATTCCAAGTGAATAGCGGCTTGGCCGAATATTTCTGAATATTGAATAGTTGCTGCGCCTTTCTTTACACCTTTTACAACTGTTACACCACGCTCAAACAAAAATTCAGCTGAACTCGCAGAGATTGTTCCTAAGCTCCTATCTGTCCACTCATGAGCTCTCTTAAATATAATCTAGCTATAATTATAGACTGTGGTCTCAGAAAGTCCAACACCTACATTGAGACGGCAAGTAAACGACAGAGTTGACATAGAACTAAACCTATAAAGCCGCCCAGCCATACCTAGTTAAGGGGGCTTATAATTATTCTTGTTATATAAAAGTAACTTCTTTGATTCTAAATAAAAAAAATGAAAAAAAATAGAACAGGCACAACTAATGAACAGAGGTTTTTAGAACATCACTGCCTAACATATGCCCTCGCATAATAGCCGCAGTAAAATTTTGAAGATTATATTGCAATGTAAATATCAACAATCACAAAGGTCCTTGCTTGTTTGTTTTTCTAATCCACCAGGCGCGCGCGTGCACTGTACCGCTTTCGCCTGAGCGCACGGCTGAGAAGCGAGTCGGGAAATTACTGTGTTATCTCTGCGGGTATTGCTTCTCCGCAGTGCACCGGTGCTTGAGGAGAAGTGCACTCAAGGGGGCTAATCCACCGCGATCAACACTTCCAAAAGTATGAGTATCGCAGTTAATTTTGAAGCGGATATCAAATAGCGTAACATTTGAAAATATTATTCAAAAATTAGAATATTCGCGCAGCCCTACTCTTTGCACATAGTAATTAACATCTTAAAAAAAAAAACAAAAAAAAAACTGTATTTTCCTTGTTTTCAGTGGCATCGCCAACAATGCCACGTGCCAGACACTCTGAGTTTCCTTTTCGAGAACAGCTCCCTTTTGGCGCAGACATGGTGCAAATCTTTAAGGCAGCATGTAGCAGGTTATTCGTTCTAGCGCAGTTTGGCACAGCAGTTCCAGCACTGCATCGTCCCTCATAGGCTTCAATTCACTCTGAAATTTTGAATTAATTCGAACCAGGGATGGGAAAAAAACATGCAAATATGTATCGAAATACAAATACAAAATACTTCGTCAAAAATGTATTTCATTACGAATCTAATTACATTTACAAAAAATCATTTAAATAAAAGATACAAATACAACCAAATGTATTTGGTCTCCTCCAAATACTTTTCCAAATACATTCCTCAAAATTTGCGTCAGCGACTTCAGGGCACCTGCAACGGATTTCTGGGTATCTCATTTTAATTTTGCATCGTACACTCGGGAGTTAGTGTGAGAGGCTCTGGTAACGTAATAGAAATATAACCACAAAAAAAATGTAATCAGCTTGGACGTAATACGTGAAACAAGTACAGAGCTTCAAGCAGCTTTTTTTGTTGATTACATTTTGGTATAGACCAACAAAGAACCGAGATGACCAAGACGCGCAGCACTAGCTAGAGAATTTTTTATTGTTGCAACTCGCACCAGTTACGAAAATCTGGACGACCCGCGCATTTAGAATGTTCCAGGCAAAAATATGGATGGAAATCAGGGTGGAAAGCATCACAAATTGTCACAGGCACTTATTTTGCCAGTCCGCCTGTGAACCTCGATTTCGTCACTATTCTTACCCTGGACTAGTGCCGTAATCACAAAGTCACTAAACGCTTGTGCTTGATTGAGAGACGCTGCATTCGGTGCAGAACATAGTTTTCTTCCTGCTCTGGACAGTGACAACAAATTTGAGGTGATGTATTTTCGCCCACAAATTGTATTTAATTAAAATTGTATTTGAAATACCCACGTTTTAGTATTTAAATACACATGCCAAATACATTGTTCAATTTGTAATTAAATACAAACGCAAAATACACAAAGTATTTAAAATACATATTTCAAATACTTGTATTTGAAACACTGCCCATCCCCGATTCGAACGAATGGTTGAAAAGTTGACCTTCCCGAGCCACATCCCCCCTTGACTGCTTTACTTTCATCAGAAACTGTTCCCCGAGCAGTTGGGAAGAGTGGGCGATCTGTCTGGCAGCTACCTGTGGTAGTTGAGGATGACGGCACAGGATCGAGACCAGTACGGCCCACCGCTGCCGTCCCCCGGGACGCCTTCCCCGTGCATGCCAGCGGGACGCAACTTGGGCTCTGCACACACAAAAATCCCCGGTCAATGACCAGGAAAGTCGCTCTTTAAAGAGAAGCTGGAGCGGTTTTGTATTTGAGGAAACACACATAAATCGTCTTCATTTGACCTCCAGCATCTCGAATATCCAAAAACATTTTTAATTTGGACCATGGTGGCTGCAGAAAATCATTTTGAAAGTACCACCAAAGGCCTTCCTTCCCGGAGCGCGACGTCACAAAAGGAGTTTGCAGAATCTCCGCTCTCACGCATCTCCAGCACCTATCGAAGCTACGCACACGCACTCTCGCTATTTCTAGAAAAGGCAGAAAGAGACATCATGACCAATGCCAGTGCGGGGAATATACCTGACAAGCTCGCGATTACACGAGTGGGTCTCAAGCGACATGCGCTTGGCGGCCGAAAGAGATGCCACGACTGGTCGGAAGTTTTTCGTGTTTTCTCGCGTTTAGGTTCATCTTCGGGGAAAACAAACGTGATATTCAAATTCACATAATAAAACTACGCTAGATTCAACCTCTATCTCATTTTTCGAAATAAGTGTTTCAGCTTCCCTTTAAGTCCCGCAGGGTAGCGCAACTAGAATAAAGGACAGCACTCGTTTCTGCGCATGAATAGTAGCGGGAAGATGTCTGTGGGAAATCGGTGTCGTCCTAATTAGGGTAGGTCGGCACGATGTGAGAAGGAGCACATTAGACGTACCTCGCATGGTTCGAATTTCAAACGTAGATAGCCGAAACTGGGCACGCAACTGTCATATTTCAGAAAGTTCTACGTCTATTTTCCTTACAGGTCAAGTCAGCTGTGGCGAAATATTAAAAATAGTACAAAAAAAGGCGTTTGTGCATCTCCTACGTCCTATACCGACCCATTTAAGCGTTTTACGTTGGTTTACCAGCTCACTCACAGTGGCGTGCCCAACGCGAAAACATGGAGAACGCCACAGTAGGGATTCTCAACGAGCGAGGGAATCGTGATGAGTAACCATTTTACCTAAATATCGTCACGACTAAAAATGGTCGGCGAAATTAGAACCGAAAATAAACGTTTAACGTGGCAGACTCACACCTACTAACTTAAAATGAAAAGTACCACAGATCCTGCGACAAAAGGGCGACCGCCAAAGCGGCGCGTTACTGCCGCTTTCATGTTCGAGAAGGTTCCGCACCAGAACTCCCGACAAGAGCCGAGAGTGGGCTAGAACTCTCCGGAAGAGTAAGATCGATAGAAGAACGAGCCAAGCAAGTTCGAACCCCGTTTTCCTCGGCGTAACAGCCACGCACGCGGCAATGTACAGATGACGACAGCCCCGTGGCCAGCTCGCAAACTGAGAAATGCGGGGCCGTCATTTCCGCGCTATATTTAAGATTTCGGCACCTCCCGGCTGACCCGTAAAAGGAAAAAACGAACGTCTTTGCAAAACGACGTTCGCGTGTCGAACGTCGAAGGTGTAAGTTCGAAATTCCGAATTTCCGAAGCACATTAGATGTGCCGGTTCCTGGGACTGCACCCCGTACAAACTGAAAGGTTTGAATTTCTGCCACACCTTCGAAAATTGAAATTACGAAGCGGCCCTCGGTGTCTAGCATTCGATAGTACTTAAAGGGGTTGTCCGGTCAAATTTTGTATTCGAGAAAACAATTGAATATCATTGTTATTGCCTCGAGACGCATCGTATGTGCAATATTTGAATTTTATATGCCCCTCTAATGAGTAATTGAATTCCTACTGCTCCAATCGCACTCTAGCGTAAACGCTGTTTTCGGTGGCAACATGGGAGCGCTGATGTCACACAACACAAAGCGAGCATTTCTGTCTCGTCGTTTACCTGCGAGTGAACGCCTCAGCGTGCTTCGTTTTTGCTGTTGTGCTCGACTTGTTTCGTGGTTGGGTGAGATTTTTGTTGCGCGGTTGAGTGCCACAACCACCGGGCGGCACATGCGAGCCAAGACATGACGTTTCACACTTTTCCCCGAGACGTGCAGTGACGAGCAAAATGAATCGTCGCCGTGCGTAGGGACTGGGTTCCCGTCAAGATTGAGATCCCACTTATGCAGCAGTCATCTCACAGAAGAGAGCTACAAGCTGAGCTTTAAGCGGACAGAAGGCTCGTAAGCTGAGGTGTGATGCTGTGCCAACGATATTAAACTACGTCCATCCACTCCTCGCCCAAATTGGATCAATCAATTTGTTTATGCAGGGAAACCGAAACCAACAGCTAGACAACCTGGAAACGATACCAGAAGTTGTATTTAGCACGCGTGCAGCCAAATTCTGTTTGACCCGCATGTGCAAATAGAGCGTGGCTATGATTCACCAGGCTCGTCCAAGTCAAGTGACGACATGCATTTGAACGATTCGCCAGTTGCCTTCAACCCGCGGTCATCGCCTCTGAGGGAAAGACCCGCAGCCTCAACACCGATCCAGTGGATCCGCTGATATGCGTACCCGGATACCGCTTTGTGTACCCAGTTGCCGCTTCAGAGGCGAAATCTGCATCCTTTGCTTTGCAAGCACTCCTAATTCGATCGGTGGCCGTCGCAGTTGTGTCTGCGCGAAACGGCATACGTTTGTTCGAAGCTTATGGCTGTTTTCGAGTAATGTCCCGCTAAAAGGCGTGACTTTTTTTGTACACGCTTGGGAACTGCAATAAAAGAACCGTATTTCAGTAGGACAGTGGTTCTCAACCATCGCCGTTTTGCGGACCCCTTACGGATCGGCGGAGATGATGGAGGACCCCGTTTGTGGTGAGAGGAGAGGAAAGGTATAGGTTAAATATAATAATGATTTAATAAATGGATATAATTAAGGGCTAGTGTGAAGTAGACCTCTTTTATCGACGTTCACACAAAAAGACTTGCCCGAAAACTAAAACATTTCTTTCCGACCCGAAAAAAAAAAAAAAAAAAAAAACTTTTATTGCCGGGCTGGACTGATGAGGCAGGGCTTCCCGGACCCCCATTTGAGAACCACTGGCCTAGGAGTCTACATAATTTGAAACAAAATACAAGACATCCATTGACCAACGCTTGCTATCTCGACCATTTGACAAACCTTTGCGTTTTGTGACGTCACACAGCAGCTACGGATGTCAGCCATTGACATTGGCGAAATTTGGGGTGCAGTTTCGTACATACGCTCTTGAATGGTTTAGTTAATAGCGGGAGATCATATATCAAAATAAAAATGTTGTTTGTCTACATGAAGGCTCTCTCGACGTAAAGAGCGCAAAAACTTAAGTACTTCCGGTTTCGACCGGACAATCCTTTTAAACTTAATTTCGCAGCCGACGGAGCAACGACCACGCTTGTGGCTCATCACGGACATTCCAGATGCTCGGGCTTTGGCACGTTTCTGCCCGATGACAGAAATGTAGATGCCTACAGTTGGAGCCGTTAGGTAACTAATTAAAAGCTTCGCGACCAAGCGCGTAATTATTTACAGTTTCAGTTTCCACGCACTTCCCAAGTTGCACTACATTTTTATAGCTGTAACCATTAGCTATTATGCGCTATATTTTTGGGCCAACTTGGCGTTGCCCTTATCTGGACGTCGATTCTATGGGTCGTTGCTACGAGAAGAATACCTACTCGGTCGACTAAAGCGGAAGTCTGGGTGAGCCCGGTTGAGACAGACGCGCTAAGCAGGGGAGGAAAAAGGGGACCGACAATCCCAAAAGGCGACGCACCCAGCCTGGTCAAGGGAATCTTCCCGCCCGGCGTCCCGGGGTCCTGCTCCGAGGGCGGAGCGGCCTTCGGTGCCGGAAAGTGCGGCGGTCCCCATGAGATCCTTGCCTGTAAAGATTGCGACGCGGGTCAACGGGGAGGTCGCCACCGAAAAAGGCGTCTGGGGCGCCACCCACGGCATTCTGGGGGTCTTCCGAGGGGGCGCAGAGCAGAGCCAGGTGGTGGAAGCCCCGGCCCATGATACCCACGTCCGCGTGCACCAGGTCCAACACGTGGCCCAGTTCGTGCAGGACCCCGCCCAGACTGCTCCAGAAGCAGGCCCACGGGGAGCCCCTGCAGGAAACACCCCGAACAACATTCCAGTGATGTGATTGGCCTAAGCCGTTTTGGAGCACCTTTAGGAGCAGCTAAAACAGTGTTTAGAAGCAGCAAAAGTGGCTTTTGGAGCAGACATTCTTAGAACAATAAAAATATTAATTTCAAGCGCTGGACAAACGAAGGACACTTTGCTCGCCGCAATAAACAAATTATAGTCAAGTTAGACCACCTCGGAGTCTTTCAACATGTAACTGAAATGCCTATGACAGGACACATTTTGCAATTCTTCAGAAAGAAAAAAAAGTCCCCATTTTGCACGAAGGCAACTCCACTAACTCTCACTCACAAATTTGAACTGCACCATTACTTTTGGTTGTTTGTCTCGAGATTGACAGAGTAGGTTAACTTTTTCCATAGCCTACAAATGTCGACCAAACTTAGTGGTCCACGACAGCGAATCAGGGCCAGCAGCGCCGGTGATCGAGATCGCGTGGGGTATACGCGGCGACGGCGGCACTGCGGAGCGCCGGCGGGATCGCGCAGTTCCAGAGAGCGATTTCGGAAAGGGTTCGTTACCCGCAGCATTGGATGTCTGGGCAGTCGGGGCGGTCCGTTTCCCCAGCGTCTCCCAGCCCGGCCGCGAGCTCCCGGAGATCCAGGGGCCAGGAGCGGAGGCGGCCGTCCCCGCAGAGGGCCAGGCCCCCGGCCCCGACCATGGGGTGCCCCGCCGTCCCGCTGGGCTCCGCGTCTGCCCACGACGCGAAGGCCAGGAGCTTGCAGCGGTCAGGGTCACCCAGGGCTGAGCGCACAAGCTCCTCGGCCAGGCACCTCCAAACTTTCCCGGCCGCCATGGAGCGCGCCTCCGCGACGGTCAGCCCGGTCCGGAACACATGGACGGCGGGCTCCAGACAGAACGTGCGCCGCTGGAATCCGGCGGCTGCCAGGGTCTCCGCCAGTAGGGCCTGGAGGATGCGGGCTCCCAGGGCAACCCTCTGGAGGGCCCCCTCCACGGAGGGCCCCCGGTCCGGCTCGTCTTGGCAGACGACGTACGCCGGGCGCACGTACTCGCGGGGGCCGGGCGGCTCGTGACGCAGGACCAGGTCTTGCCAAAGGTCCCCGTGACCCAGCCGCACCGCGTTGGTCCCCGGCAGGAGGCTCACAAAGGCCACGAACGCTCCCCCCGCTACGGGCCAGGACACCGGGTGCGCGTCTCGCCCCTCCAAGAGGTTCGCTACCTCCACCGCGTCGATCCGGTCACTTCCGAGGTAGCGGCCGCGAATTAACGCCAGGGACCACCCGAGGACCTCGTCGGCCTTCGGGCTCGTGATTTTGAAGATCATCGTAGAGCTTACAGTGCCCGCTCGGAGCACGTGCGAAGGGCAAAGACTTGGGACCCAAAGCAGGAACGAGAAGAGACAAAAATGCTTCGAAGTGCCTCGGCACAAAGACGTATCCCAATTTATTCGCGAGCTACCCCAAAACGTCCACTACCCCCAACTGAAAAGAATTCCTAGGGCACGCAGTCACGAGATGCAGCAGGTGCTCTTTGCGAGAGCTCCGGCCTCGCCCGATCCCTTGGCGCCCAGGTAGGAGTTGCTGAGCCTCTGCTCCATCCAGTCTGGCAGCGGCCCGTTCCAGTCTTTGGGTGGCTCCGACCGCAGGTCCCAGACGTCGTTCCGGAGCGAGGCATCCAGCCGTTCCTTCTTGCGCTTCTCCTCGCTCTCCACCACCGATCGCTGTCGAGAACCAGAGACTGCGGCTCACCTCCACAATGTCCAAAGCAGCATGGAAGAGCCTTCCTACGATAATGCCGCCATCTGACTAGCATCTACAATGCCATCCTAAACCAAATGTCACATGCATTAGAGGTGTTAATGTTGTGCCACGTGGCAGCTACGAGTGGCATTTACTGCCGACAAAGGTTGCAAAGCGACTTTGCTCTTTGGATACCTCTCGTTTCTAGTTTACGCACATAGAGCGTAGCATCAAACAAAAACGTTTACACCCATGTACAAGAGGAGTGGTTTTCTGCCCGTATGCAGTTTAAGATGTACTTGGGGCATTTTTCTGCGACATGAACCGCGATAGAGGCGATACGTAAAGATTGCAACGACTCAGTCGGAACGGCGGGAGACGGCAAATTTTTTCAACATCGAACTAGGGCATGGTTTTAAGCGATGGAGCGCTTTAAATTGGACTATAGTATGCTGCAGGCGAAGAAGGTGGGCAAGAGAAAGGAAGGTAGGAGAGGAGGCAACAGATGCAATGCTGGCGAGGAACTTTTCTTTTCCCCCCTGCGTTGTGTCCATTTCCTCCTCCTCCCACCTTCCTTTCCCACACCTTACCTTCTTGAGTTGTCACCGACTATAGTTCCACGGCACTTCCCGCTTGTTCTGCGGTCACATGCAAGCTGCATGTTCGCGTTCAAAGCGTTGCCGTACGAGCCACCTGGCTCTCTGCAAAGCCATGGCTCTCCTAAACCATAAGCAATAAATCGTCCCTATTACGAGGGGTGTTTGTAAAGCTTTTACAATTGGCATTAAAAATTGAAAAAAGAACAAAACAGGCGTCGATACGAGCATGCGTCCCTCTAGTTTTAGCCAGATTTGTGCGTAAATTCGTACAAGTGTAACGAAATTACACATAATCTCTTACATTTATTGGAAAGTTTTTAACAAAATAATTACATATTTCTTAGAGTGACTGTAACATAATTTTCTTACATATTTACGTAACAACCTCGTTGTAAACCCTTATATATCTTTATTCACAAACCCCCAACCCCAAAAAACGAAAATGTGTTCGTTTTGATAAAGCTGACCGCAGTCACGCTCTCAGGCGCGTCGACCAGCGCAGAAAAAGGCTTGGCCACTTTCGGTTCCACAAAGCCTCCCTTTACAACGCCCCTAAATCCATTTTTTTTTTACAGCGGAGCTGTTAAGAGTTAGTTTCCCCAGTATCGTGTCTGTCGGCAAACAAATGTTGACACAAAACTCTGGATAGCTATAGCCATCTATGAGCGACGGCGGCAACCTTTCCAGCCTTTCCACTCTGGCTTGCCGACTTGCGGCTGGCCATTGCTTCATTCCCATCGTACAGCTTCGCTGGTCTTGCTTCTTCACCAGAGTGGAAAGGCTTGTGGTACCTGTCAGGTGGCACTCAACATATTTTATATACATTATTTACAAGAAAACCGTAACAGTAGAAAACATTGTCCGATCTACCCGCCGGTCCGCTCGGTCGCCGAATCGTAAAGCTCGTGTCTCGTGGTCTGTTCTCGTGCGTCTCGGCTTCTTTTCTCTCGCTCCAGTGGTACAGCTGGCACGGCTGCTACAGATGCCCCCCCTTAGACAAGTGGCCTTGGCCACTTGCGTCAGAAGTGTAGAGTGGGTGGGGAAATTGTTATGGGAGAGCGGAGTGGTAGCACTGTCGAGAGCGGCGGTGAAAGCGGGTTTTAGACGATCCAGGGAAACTGTTTCACGACGTCCCTGTATGAGAACAGTGTAAAACTTCCGTGTTCTGGCTACGACGAGATATGGACCATCGTAGAGAGGTCTGAGGGGCTTTCTGACCGCATCTCGACGGACAAATACATGTGAAGACTGGGCGAGAGCAGGGTGAATGAAGACTTGCCGAGCACTAGGTTTTCGTGTTTGTACTGGGCGTAAGGAGCTCATTGCTTCTCGGAGTCGTTGGACATAAGATGATGGATCCATTACCCCTTGTGCCGTTGATGATTCGACCATGTCAGCAGGTAGACGAAGGGGAGAACCGTACACGAGTTCTGCCACGGTACAACCCAAATCTGGTTTTAGAGTTGAACGTAGTCCGAGCAACACAACAGGTAGGTTGTCGACCCATGCGTCGGGGAGTGGCTGTGCTCGGAGCGCAGACTTCAGCTGTCTGTGGAGCCGCTCGACGAGGCCATTTGCAGCAGGGTGGTATGCTGTTGTACGCGTCCGTATTGAGCCTAGAAGAGATGTTAGCTCGTGGAATAGTGCGGACTCGAACTGGCGGCCGCGATCGGTGGTGACCGTGGCAGGCACGCCGAAGCGGCTGACCCAGCTGAAAATGAAAGCTCGAGCCACAGTTTCCGCGGTGATGTTTTCTAGAGGCATCACCTCTGGCCAGCGAGAAAATCTGTCCACACAGGTCAACAAGTACGTGAAATTCCGTGAAGTTGGAAGTGGGCCAACGATGTCCAGGTGGACGTTCTCAAAGCGTTAGGATGGTAGGGGAAACTTTCCGAGTGGTGTGTGCGTGTGGCGTTGCACCTTTGACTTCTGGCAGGCTATACAAGAGCGAACGAAGTCCCGAATGTCGGCGTTGATCTTGGGCCATACGAAACGGTTCGTTACAAGCTCTTGTGTCGCGCGTATGCCTGGGTGGCAGAGGGAGTGAAGTGAGGTGCACACCGCATGACGTAGTTGTCGTGGAACATAGGGTCGGGGTTTTCCTGTCGATGTATCGCATACTAAGCTGATGCCGTGATCGGAGAGGGCAACTTCTTCAAGGACGAGGGATGTGCCGGTCTTCCTGAGGGATTCGAGTTCTTCGTCCTGAGCTTGAGCTGCTGCCAGTTCAGTGTAGGTGAACTGTTCTTTTTCTGTGTTCAAAGCATTCAGCTCGAGGCGTGATAACGTGTCTGCGACGGTGTTTCCTTTTCCTTTCACATGGCGGACGTCAGAAGTGAATTCCGCTATGAATGAAAGATGTCGCAGTTCACGTGGGGAATGGTTCTGGTGTGATGACTGCATGGCATAGACCAGCGGCTTGTGGTCTGTGGCGATGAAGAAGGTACGTCCTTCGAGGAAGTGTCGGAAGTGTTTGACGGCTAAATAAGCCGCAAGCAGCTCTCTTCCGAAGGTGCTGTACTTCCTCTCGGAATCTTGAAGTTTACGTGAGAAGAACGATATGGGAGACCATATATCACCGATCTTCTGCTGCAACACTCCTCCGACAGCGATGTCCGAGGCGTCGACCATGAGGCACGTTGGGGCATCTTGAGACGGATGCACGAGGAGTGTGGCGCTGGTGAGCTCTTTCTTCACGTCCTCAAACGCAAGCATTGCCTCCGGGGACCATGATAATTTTGACTTCTCGCCTTTGGAGGTAGAAAGCAGTGCCTCTAACGGCTGTAGAAGGTTGGCGCAGTGGGGAAGGAAACGCCTGTAAAAATTTATCAACCCCAGGAATCGCCGGAGGGCACGCTTTGTTGTAGGCTGTAGAAAATCAGTGATAACTTTGACCTTGTCTGGAAGTGGCCGGATACCTTGAGAGTCGATGTGGTGACCAAGGAATGTTAACTCCGGTACTCCAAACTGGCATTTATCAACGTTAATGACGATGCCATACTCTCGCAGCCTGTCGAACAGCGTGATCAGGTGGTTCTTATGTTCCTCCGGGTTTTTGCTTGCTACGAGGAGGTCATCCAGGTAGGCAAAACAGAAAGGTAAACCACGGAGGACCTGGTCAATAAATCGTTGAAAGGTTTGGGCCGCATTACGTAGACCAAATGGCATCGTGACAAACTCGAAGAGACCGAAAGGTGTGGTTATTGCCGTCTTGGGAACGTCTGCAGGTTCGACAGGGATCTGATGGTAAGCTTTTATGAGGTCTATTTTTGAGTAAATGGTAGTGTCTTTCAAATAGGCAGTGCAGTCTTGAACGTTCGGGAGTGGATACCGGTCCGGAATCGTAGCTGTGTTAAGAGCCCTATAATCGCCGCATGGTCGCCAATCACCGCTTTTCTTGGGCACCATGTGCAGAGCGGACGACCAGGGGCTGGAAGACGGGCATACGATTCCGAGCTGGAGCATATGCTCAAATTCCTGTCGTGCGACCCGGAGCTTTTCAGGTCCTAGTCGACGTGGTCGGCAATGAGCAGGTGGGCCGGTTGTCACTATATGATGCGTGACGTCATGCTTAGGCATCTCGCTGATGTTGCGTGGCTTGGTGAGGTCTGGATAGTTCTCGAGCAGGCTGGCAAATGTATTGGAAGGAGGCTTGATGAAGGTGGGGCTAAGAGTTGGAGTTCGGGACGCCACACCGGAAACTTGTAGGTGAGTGGTCGCGTCAACCAGCCTCTTGTGTGCCATATCCACCAAGATGTTGAAGTTTCTAAGAAAATCTGCTCCAATAATTGCATAGCTGACATCCGCTACCCAGAAGAGCCACTGAAATCGGCGCCGGAGACCCAGGTCCAACGTCAGTGACTTTTGTCCGTATGTTTCGATGGTGGACGCGTTGACGGCTTGCAGTGACGTGGTTTTGGCGCGGTGTCGGCGATCAAAAGATGTGGCGGGAATAATGCTGACCTCAGCGCCTGTGTCCACCAAAAAGCGTGTGCCGACCAGCTTGTCATGGATGTGGAATAGGCGACTGGTGGGCCGATATGGGTCGCTCGCCGCCACTAGTGATCGGCCGTCCCGTTTTCCTGATCCCAGGAACAGGGAGGGTGACAATGGCGGGCCTCTGATCCAAATTGTCGGTGGTACCTGCAGAGCAAGTTGCCCGAGGGTCGAGGCGATGGTGATGCTCGACGGCGGTTGTCACGACCAGCGTGCCGCGCGCGGCCTTGTGAGTGCCGCTGTGAGGACTGAGACCGGTGTCGAAATTCTCGGCGAAATTCGGCTACAGTGGTCGTCAAGTCCTGTACAGCTCGACGCAGCTCGGCGATGTCGGAGACGAGGTCTGGAGACTGCTGCGTGGCACCGATAGTGGGGCCGGTAACCTC